ACAGAGTAGATCCGGGCAGTCAGTCTCATTCTGGAAAGACATTGGGCAGCTAAAAAGTACTTTTGGACACCAGGCTATTGCTATTTACCTTAGTGCATGGCCTGTGTTGTGGCATTGCTGTTACCATCTCAGAAGCTAAGAGCAGTTTTAGAAGCTGGAGAAACTAATGAATAAGACAGTATGTCCATGCACAACATATGCTAGGATGAAAATGCGATTCATCGACATCTGTTTTTCCCATCAGCTACCCAATGTCCAACGCTGACTGCGCCAGATAACGGAGCGCTGAGCCCTGAAGGAGCGAACTCCTACAATAACGTGGTGACGTTCACCTGTAACCAGTGGTACGAGCTGGAAGGAAACTCTAGTGTGAGATGCCAGGCGAATCGAACTTGGAGTGGTCCTGTTCCAACATGCACAGGTAAGACAGTTGTGTAGTAGTAAAGCTATACATGTAGCATTAGATACAGAAGCTGGTGTGTTAAACCAAAGGGCGGTTATACCGGTTATACAGATACAGAGATAGTATGTACTATGCTTTTCAATCTGTTTCAGCACTCTGTTTCATAGTACTGAGTTTTATAAATGACTGATCATCTTCACCCTATCAAACTAGACATTGTATATTCATATGTCTAAGCAGATTGATCCTGAAACTCAGATGATATCATGGTCAATATCGCTGTTTAAACGAAGTTCCATTTTCGCACCAGGAAACCATGCCTTTGAGGTCCTCCGTACGGCGAACCAGACGTATAATGGAGTCGACTTCTTCGCCATCGAGGCAAAGTTGCCAGCTGACGGCCTGTCATCAACTTCAGATTGGTGCAGGGATTACCAGAACCTGTGTGCTGGCTACAGACTGAGGCCGACGGGATGTGGGGAGAAATGGGCAGTTGAGGGTGGGAGCGACAGCCACTCCTACAAGATCCGGTAGGACTTGTGTCTTATATACATGTATTTACATTGTTATACAGTACTAGTACTGATTAGATTTTGTAAAATATTTTACTAAATGGAATAATCTATTCAGATTTAGTATTGTCTTACATTGTCTTTCACACAGTAAGGTAAAGTCCACAGTCATTAGGGAGGCCAGACAAAGTTAATCTGCAGCCACTGTTTTCTACCTTTTGTTAGAAGGGGTGAAGAGGTAGCAATGGTTGAGGTATATTACAAATGTTGTGTTTCCAGGTGTGTGACTGAGTACAACTCCGACCCCTACATCAACAACGTGCTCAACTGTAACCCGTCCGGAGGTGTAACTGAGGTGGCGAACTTGGCTTTCTCAGCCGGGGCTACATGGCAGAGGAGTTTCGGCTTTCTCAGCTGTTACACCAGCAGCTGCCAACGTGGGATATACCAGAATCGTGACAGTCTGTCCTACACAGCAGCAGCCTTTGACTTAGACGGGAGCGGAGACAGGATTGTGTACACCGTGTGCGCAGGCTCAGCAGGTAAGTATTATTAAGTATTTGCCACTATTGACTTTTAATTCACTCTACATAGAAAATTTTATATCAGACATTAACTACCATTCAAATTTCAAAGGACACAAAAATACATTTTGTTTCTGGTTTGACTAGAATCTAATTGATGTTGGGGTGGGATTAAGGACTCACCAAGTTCGTAAATAAATAGATTAATGCTGTTTTTAATGTAAGTTAAATATTAATTTACAGTTGCATGATCTTGCAGCCCAAAATGGATTACTGTGATATGATACGGGTCAACTGCAGAAAAGGTCTCTTCTGACAATTCAAACTAACATAGTAGATCCGGGCAGTCAGTCTCATTCTAGAAATACATTGGGCAGCTAAAAAGTACTTTTGGACACCAGGCTATTGCTATTTACCTTAGTGCATGGCCTGTGTTGTGGCATTGCTGTTACCATCTCAGAAGCTAAGAGCAGTTTTAGAAGCTGGAGAAACTAATGAATAAGACAGTATGTCCATGCACAACATATGCTAGGATGAAAATGTGATTCATCGACATCTGTTTTTCCCATCAGCTACCCAATGTCCGATACTGACTGCGCCAGATAACGGAGCGCTGAGCCCTGAAGGAGCGAACTCCTACAATGACGTGGTGACGTTCACCTGTAACCAGGGGTACGAGCTGGAAGGAAACTCTAGTGTGAGGTGCCAGGCGGACCGAACTTGGAGTGGTCCTGTTCCAACATGCACACGTAAGACAGTATGCAGTAAAGCTAGAATTATTTACCTAGTACTCATATTTATGTATATATTTGCATGTTTGTGCGCGGTACATGTGACCTTTACCGCCAGTCTCCTCCACAGCACTTGGTCCTAGCTACCATCTTCCTCCTTTTATTCTAATTATTCTCATTAATGTAGCGAATTCAGATGTGTTCTTTATTAGAGTAAATTGGAAAATGAAATTATTTTATTTAACTGCATGATTTTGTCAACACTGGATTACTATGATGTGATATGAAGATCCTGAAGTTGCCTCTGTATTATAATGTCTTTGTAGACCTCGGCGAATGTGGGACAGAGAACGGCCGGTGTGACCAGATCTGCACCAACGTCCCCGGGAGCTACAGCTGCTTCTGCCGACAGGGCTTCGTGCTGATGGAAGACGCCCACGGCTGTCGAGGTAAAAAAGTGTCGTTTCATGATTGTAGTTTGCCACACAGGCGTTTATTTAGTGTAAATATGCAATGCCCTTCTAGATCTTCTTTGATTTTATTCTAGGTTTTCTTCACATCATTTTAGGATTGATGTACGACAATTATTTCTTATTGGCAGCCTATTCTTTTAACATTTTTAACCAACTACATTTTCCTCTGTAATTAGCCCAATTCTAATACCAGCATTACATGTACCTGGGAAAGTTTTCAAATGCAGGTGTAATTAGAATTTTGATGCAACATTTAAAATGAAAGTCTATAAAAAGGAACATGACGTTACCTCTTGTTGCGTTAATACTGAGTTCTTTATTTCACAGTGTGCGGCCACTGCCTGGGCGGGGACGTGAACTGTGACCCAGTATCGGGTGTCTGCTCGGCTGGCTGCCTGGATGGATGGAAAACACAGCTTTGTGATAAAGGTATCGTTTGTAGTTGACTGAGGGTTCTCTTTCAGAAATTATGCTTTAATCGTTATCCCTAAACTCTGAATTATTTAAAAAAAATGAAGCTGCCTAATTTTGTGACCTGGGTTTACATTATCATGTTTCAGCATTGTTTTAGAAATGCCTGTAATTTAAACATATCTGATCAATGAAGTTATAATGAGGTTATAATCACATGTTTGGTGCTCTATTTACATCTATGTAAAAAGCGAGCATTTCTTAACTCCTGTTTTGATTCTTTTTCTTGCAGCTGTGGATCCACCAATGGACCTGGCCGTAACTGACATCATGGACGAAGGGTTCAAGGTCACCTGGTCTCCATCCCCTGACCCTGACCTTCAGGGGTACCGTGTGGTGGTCTCCAACCTGGACATGACGACAGCTGTCAATCAGAGCACTGACGAGGCGTGGTTTCCGGTGGTCGGCCTGTTCCCGGAGACTGCTTACATCATCAGGGTGACGGCCCTGTTCTCTTCAGGTGGTTGGAGGTCACAGAGCGAGGCGGCAGTGATACCGGCACGCACAGGTAGGGAGAGTCTAGCTGCTGTTGACTGTTGATGAATCCAAAGATAGAACTTATTCTGACTCTTTATTGATACCAGAACACTGCCAGGTTGTGCATTGCTGGTTATGAAGATTAAAACATTTGTATGCAAAGTTATTTTTTTGAAAGCTTGCATTCTTTCACATGAGAAACTGTCAGCCATAACTATGCAACAAATCAATGGGTTCATCCTGGTTGTGTTTAAAAGCTATAGGAGAAATACATGATTTAATGTACTATGTTTACTCCACATGCTTATTCCATATTATTTTGTATTCCAAAAAGGAAATATTGGATTAAGTCCAGATACCATGCTAAAACCTTAAAAGTAGATTTGTATAAGAGTGCATGTACAGATACAGTCTCTTGTTTTTACCAGTAACGTTACTGTTCTTCTCACAAAAGATTTTGAAAAATTCGGTTAATCTCTTAACCTGAGTCTTTTCTCTGCTAGCCGCCACACCAACCACAGTTCCTGCAAGTCGGATGACCACCCGCCTTTCCACCAAACCTGCGACTTCGACCGTACAACAAGCACCTGAAGCTGGGTGGGACGAGGAATCATCTGATGATGGTAGGTTCCCAGCATTGAAACACTGGAGAGACCATCATGAATTAAATATAGTGGGCACTTTTAAAGTCTATGATGTTGCTATTCAACATACCAACAATTCAGTCAGTACTAAAGCATGATCATAATAATCATGCTTTGCTCAATGAAAATGATATAAGCTGTGGTGTTAGTATCGTTAACCCTATCTAGACCTGTTTTTTTGGCTTGGTGGGACCGGGGGGGGGCTCATTTGACCCCCCCCCCCTCAGAACTCGAGAACGGTATGTCATATGACCACCAAATTTTCAGAGGATGGTGTACTAGTAAAAATTTATCATATCTACAATTTTTATGTCGTTATGACGTAATATGACGTCATTATGACGTCATTAATGTGATTTTATTGGCCAAAACCGTCTAGATAGGTTATTCCCTGAAAACTTCCCTGGTATACAACATAACTTTACCAAAAGTGTTTATGACAGAATATTAGTGTGTACTAAGTCTTATGTTGCCCATAGCAACACCGGTCACGTCATAAAATGACGTCATGCATATTTAAATCGGCCATTTTGGATCATCAATCTTGAATTTTCAAAAATAGTTTTTTTTTCAGGATAAAGCCTGAAATACATTGTAAACAGATTAAAGACGTTCATATGAACCTTTTTTGTAAAACGAAATGGAAGTTTTGATGAAATTTTAAGGAAAATAACCTATATATACCTGTTCTAATGATATGGTCCGCCATCTTGGATTTTGGCCAATGACGTCATCAAATCAGCATAAATTAATGACAAAATAATTTTTAATGATAAAATTGACATAGAATTATCTGGGATGTTACTAATATTAGAAACCATGTGTAACTTGACATAAAACCCATGAAATTCTATTGTTGAAACTAAAATTACTAAATTTAGCAAAAAATGCCTGTCAAAAACCCGTTGCTATGGCAACACAAAAAATTATTATCATATTCTAATGATACAGAATTGTTACCAACAATATTCTAGGAAAAGTCACCAAGTTTGGCCGTTCTAGCGCTAGCCGTTCAGATGCTATATGACATCAAAGTTGGCGCGGGCACTTTTAGCCCCCCCGGTCTAGATAGGGTTAAATTATACCCCAGTATCGTTAAATTATACCCCAAAACTTTATAGAATTATCTTTAGATATATATTATTACTGGTAAATTTTTTAAATTTTTGTTTCAAACTTTATTATTATTCACATACAATACATAAAAATAGTTAACATACAATCGTACATAATAATACATAAGAAAAAAGACGTTTTTTTAACAGGAGTTATCTAAATAAATATCAAGTAAAATGTTTGTTCGTTATGTTCTATTTCTTTGGGTTTGTTTAGTCTGTTTCTGAAGATTGTGAAGTTTGGTTTGCAATTTTTTATGAAACATGTGTAAACACAATATTTAGCGATAAGAATACAGTGTGCAAGTGTGCTAACATGGTGAGGGTTGTCAATTATACCGTAAATAATCATCTTTTCGTCTGCGATTAGGTCTTGTTTGGTACATTGGTATTTGGTACTGGTATTTTGATGCTAATGTTTTCATCTACACCGCACCATCAGCTGCTGAAACAACCAAGCAGACAAGCGGGATGCCCACATCCATGTCCACCAGACCCTCAACTCCAACTGTACAACTCGGATTTGGTGGAGGGTTCCCATCTACAGATGTTTACCATTCTGTCACCAAAACCAGCATTGGGCAATCTGGACATCTGTTAGAAGGTTATTATAATAATATTGATTTAACTGCTTTATCTAGAGTGATAAAATGTATGTTCCTTTGACAGTAGAATATGCTCTTAAATTGCAAACCCATCATGTCCTTCAATGTCATATCAAGTAAAAGAATGCTGTGCTTTGATGTCATTGCAAAGGTAAGATGTGGTTATAATTAGTGATTGAATGATTCTATTTTCTGTTGTGCAGGAACCATAGAGACCATCAGCAGTCCGCCGGGCGGCAACAGGGCAACGCCAGCTGATCAGGTAAACTATGCAGTTCTACAGCTGAGGGGATTTTAGGGGACCCTTTCTACTGGATTTTGCAACCATTGAGTGGCCCAAAATGGATATGACCCGTGGCTTTAGAAATAGATAAGAATCCGTCCCATGATGTTAAAGACTATTATTTGAAAGACAACAAAACTTACAAAACATACAGAGTCTTGTTAAGTGAATAAAGTTATCTAATTTGTACTGCCCTTAATTCCTGTCCAATCATATAAAATACACTTTACATGTAATGTGTGTGTAATATTCTGTCTCTTCCGCAATAATTCCTGTCCAATAGTAAGGCACATAAATGTATTATGTAATATTCAGACTGTCCTGCACTTAAAGCCTGTCGAATAGTAATTTAGCACGTATTATGTAATATTCTGATTGTGGTCCCTTTATTCCCATTCAGACTGCTCTTGGTAACAGTCTGGAGAGCATCTATGCAGAATCCGTCAGCTCAAGCCCACAGGATGTGCTCCAGATTCTGTCTCAGGTTTAGTCACACTAAAAACTTTCTGTCAGCTATTCTCACAACAACATTATATCACAGGGATCTCCCCAGCAATGTGGAATATGATGGTGCTGGGGTTAAACCACCCAAGGGGGCTCACAGTGGTCAGATGTATTTGTGCACACTGACCATAAGTTTTTATGCCAATTAACATTTCTGTTTGATATTCTTTTTTTAACGGCGTCGCTCAATGCAAAGCCAATTATTTTTTTGCCACTTCTAGGCATAGAGCTAGAGGTACTTAAGTTAGTATAATGTAGTTATGTCAGGAGATGGCGGTGGACCTTTGTTTTGAAGCTTTGTGGATTGTAATCGGACGGAAAGCAGCTGTTTGGAAGAGAGTTCCATAATTTTGCAGTCCGGGGAAAGAAGCTGTTGTTGTAAAATGACTTTGAGACAGGTATGTTGACGGTGTATTGATGAGAACTGGAAGAGAACCTAGTGACACGCTGCAAGGTTCTGAGCGGCGGAACAAGAAGTGCAAGTTCTCCTGAACATCGACCGTGAAACTATCTGTAGAAGAGAGATAGGGATGCGACATTGCGTCTGTGTGAGAGGGAATCCAGCTTTGCGGCCAGAGAATGGCCGATGACAACATTCTATTATTAGCAGCACTATAGAGAGTCAATAAAAAGACATAGTAGCAAAGTATAAGGTTCTATAACATGGAAAGAAACTGGTTGAAAAAAATATGGATTGCTCCTTTGCTAAATTGGTATAAATTGGTATGACAAATTGCCATAAACATATGGTGGTGTGTTTGTATTATCAGATTTAATGTAGACTATTACATTTACATAAACCTAGTCGCTAACTACTAACCTTTTCTGTAACTTTGTCGTTCTGTAATGAGAAGGCTGCAGATGTCTCTGGAGATGATGTTGTGTTGGAGCAACCAGCATCAGCTGCTGAGGAAAAGGCGCAGGTAAGCCATCTTTGATAGTCTGTAGATGTTAAACATTGGAAAACATTTTGGAAAGCTGTTTGGACCAGGTTAAGGAACAAAGGTTTTCAATCTTGTTTTTATAATCCGTTGTTGTAGATGTGCAGGAAGGCAATTAAAACATGGGCCTCTGAAATGGGTCGGGCCCAGACACCGCAACGTCTGCAAAGGGTGTCTGAGTTATCATCACTTGTCATTAAGTCCTGTCCTGGCATTCCACAGGAGGATAAGGTACAAGTCTCTGATGGGAGTTTTACAAAGCTGAACCGTTTGACTCCTCTCCTACATCTACAAGCTTGACTACTCATGGAGCTGCACTTGCAACTGTGCAGAAAACTATGATCTTTCTCTAATTCTATACGATTGTGCCTTTTGTTATGCATGGCATGAGCCTTTACTTTACTGTACTACATGTACATGACTTGAAACTTGAACTTGACTTTATGTGGGCATCCTTTTTTAATGTTTATTTCTGCAGCAAGGAATTGTTTGATATCCTGCCAATGGCTATTCATCTTTCTCTGAAACTTAAATGAGCTGAACAAAAACATTTCATTTTTTACGTAATCCATTTCAAAGCCTTTTTTCACATAATGTTTTCACTACAAATGCATTCTAAGTGGAATATTGCCCAACATGTATGCATAGTTAGATGCTGGTTGAGCAACAGAAGTGTTGCTTTCAGACTTAGAAGTCTAGTTTTAAAACAACAAATTCATACTGTCCTATAGGACATGGCCATGGGTGTTCTGAAGTCCATCACCAGCAAACTGGACCAGCTGGACATGTCTGACCCGTCGACTGTCCAGTCTGTGGGAGGATGTAAGTACATTATGTCATGTTCACCAGTCGTACTGTGCCTCATGTAATGTACTCTCAAGTTTGTTTTTTGTTTGACTGTTTGTTTAAATCCAGGAGAAACATGTCACATAAAAAAGGTATTTTTCAAATGGTTTCTGTGAGAAAACATGTAACAAACAGTGACATGTAACAGAAAGAAAGAAATATCAAATGAAACTGTTTCTTCTGTTGTACTGCCACTCTGGTGGAGTCCGTTGGTTCTGTGTTCATTACTTTGGTAACATTTTTTCTGTTCTACTGCAGCTCTGGTGGAGTCCGTTGGTTCTGTGTTCATTAATTGATAACGTTTGTTTCTGTTCTACTGCAGCTCTGGTGGAGTCCGTTGGTTCTGTGTTCATTAATTAATAACATTTGTTTCTGTTCTACTGCAGCTCTGGTGGAGTCCGTTGGTTCTTTGTTCATTACTTTGATAACTTTTTTTCTGTTCTACTGCAGCTCTGGTGGAGTCCGTTGGTTCTGTGTTCATTACTTTGATAACTTTTTTTCTGCTCTACTGCAGCTCTGGTGGAGTCCGTTGGTTCTCTGCTTAAGGACCCAGAGAGAGATGAAGAAGAGGCTGATGTGAAGCTCACTTCTGATCTTGAGGAGGACCAGAGTCTCTCTCCAAAGGAGCGCCTTCAAAAGATGGAAGAAAAGAAGCAGGAGAACCAAGCTAAGGTAACAAAAAGTTCCTGATGAAAATGATTTGTTTAATGCTTTATTTTACACTACATTCAAATATGCTTTCTTAGAGTCTATCTTCCACCTTAGATTTTGACTAAAACACATAACAAGCTTTCCTTCTTTGTTTGATCTTAAATTCATAGAATCTAAGACTGAAAAAGTCTGTCTCAAATATATTATTGTTCACCATAGACTGCATTTGGTTCTTAAAACCGCCAAAAGACTTTCAAACCTACATATACTGACCACAACTTACATGTACATGTATCTGTACACCAACTCTGCTTTAACTAATCTCCATGCTGAAGTAGCCCTTTGGTACCAAAATTGTATTGGTTATGGGGTTAGGCAGCAGGGAGAAGGTTAATAACCACCACAGTTTCAGTACTAGGGACAGGACCATTAACCTTCAGCCTGCTAGAGCAGCCATTTGGCACCAAATCTGTATTTCTTACAGGGTTAGGCAGCAGGGAGAGTCTTGATTTTTCATGGTTCAGGTCATAGTACACTGAAGTAGCCATTTGGTACCAAATCTGTATTGCTTACAGGGTTAGGGTCATGATATTGAAAAAGAACTGAATCATCTGAGTGAGAGTAACTGATCGTGATGTCTTGTTGGTTCCTTACAGAGACGAAGATTTGTCCAGGAAGGCCGCCAGGTCCTGGACGGTCTGTTCAACGCCATCATCAGCGCCACGAGGCCAGGAGCCCCGGCGGTCACCATCAAGAGAGGCGGCATCACGCTGCGTGCCCAGAGGATCTGGGGCAACCAGTTTGGAGGCCAGGTCGTGCAGACGGAGGATGGGAGCTTCCAACTTCCGTCTAAAGCAGCGCTTTTCGCAGACTATACACCACACAACGTCGCTATGAAGGTACGTGTCATGTCATGTCCTCAGGTCATCAATGATCCTTGTCTTTCCTCTCTTGTGTGATGGTGTGAATGGAACAGTTCAATTCTCATCATTGTTTAAAAATTTTTAAATCTGTCTTATGTTAATGTCATTCACTGTAATTATTCACAGGACTGAGTGAGTGAATGATACATTTTTTGATAGAATTTGCTAGTGAAAAAATGTCTATTTTCCTTACTAATAGATACTGTGCATTTACTCCTATCATAATGTTAAACCTTGTGTATTTGGATGCTCTTGGAAATCAGTGTAGCTGAAGAGACTACTCAATTCTGTACTTAGTCTAGATCAGAAAATTAACATAATATCCTTTGACGAAACATTCCAGAATTCCTGAAAATCATCAGCTCTTTTGCATAACTTCTCACATCCTCATTTATGAACATTGAATCATTGCAGAGGAATTTTCCCTTTACAGGTTACCCCACTGCTTAACAAAAAGCTTAACGGTGCTTGAACCGAACATGCAGTACAGAAATTTATTTATTTATTTTGTTTATGACAGAATGTTACAAAACAACATGAGTTATTGACAATTTAATTTTGTTGTGTTCCAGTTGACACAGTTTCAACTGAACCCTTTTACCTGGGGGCTCGGGGAGTACCAACCACGTTCGTCTGTCATGGAACTGTCACTCCAACAGAACAACTTCCCCGTGGCCTTCAACAACCTGACTGAAGACTTCAACATCACCATTCCGGCCAAATCCGGAAACAAACCAGCGACAACAACCATCGCCATCCCTGCCCAAGGAAACGGAAGTTACAGCTACCATTTGCTTAACCTCACCAACGCCGCAGAAGGCTTCCTGGTCACAATCACCCCGCTGAACACCAGCGTGGTTTACCGTGTGTCGGGCAGGTACGGCGGCCGCCCTGGTGACCAAAACTACAACATGTCCACAGAGACGTACGTCCTACCCGAGGAGTGTGCCTTGATGAAAACTCTGAGTGGCGAGGAAGACACAGAGAAGACAGAGGCAAGAATGTTCATCTCGGGAGAGGATGGTCCTGTGGATTACAACATCAAGGTCGAAATACTTGGTGAGTAGTTTTCAAACACAAACATGCTTGACGGAACTAGAAGGGGAATGTGTGTGCCAGATTAAGTGGAATTGTCTTGTCCATAGTGATCACTTAACTTGGTTTGGCAATATCTGTTGTGAAGGAAAAGTATAAATGTTTGATGAATGTTTGAAGAGGTTTTGAATGTTGGTACGTTTCAATCTACTGTGTGATATTTAAATTAAATGTAACATAGAAAGTTTCCTTATGTTGATGACCCAGTTTGCAATGTTGTGATGTTTGCTTACTTATCTAGAATCTTATCTAAAATCTTCATTGGCAAAATACAAAATGTTATATTGTGTAACTTTACAAGGTACATTGTAACAACATGTTACAATATTTGAGTATTTTTTTTTACTTCTCGGGTCTGTTTTAAATGTCCCTTTTTTCAGGACCAGTGACTGAGTGTGGCAGTGAGAAAAGAACCGACGTGAAGAAGCCACACGCCGCTGACTTCTACGCCTACCAGATGGAATGGGCCCGTTTAGGCTGTGTCTTCTGGAGCGAGACGCAGGAAGCCTGGAGAACGGACGGCTGCTCGGTGGGTACAGGCTCTCCTTGTTTTGGGACGACTTTATTCTTAGTATTCACGATTGTTAGAATAATTTGGAAAACTTATTTTCCAGCATGATTTAGAAGATAAGTTTTCCAAATTATGTCAAAGGACCCATGTTTGGACTTAATGTGATCTTAACAACATGTCTCTTTACTGCTTTCTACAGATAAGCAATCAGTCCACCATTACCAGCACTATCTGTCACTGCAACCATCTGACAGCCTTCGGGAGTGACTTCGCCACACCGCCAAACACCATCGTGTTCGAGGTGTTGAACTTCAGGGATCTTGCAGACAACGGTGCCGTCGTGGTGACCATCATTGCGGAGCTCTGTCTCTTTTTGCTCACATCAGTCGCGATCAAGATTGCTGAGCGTAGAGGAAAAGGGAAGGTAAGTGGGCGTCACCAGTCACCCCTATCAGGCCAACAGAAGTGGCCATGTGTAATGTCAAGTCTTTGCTCTGTGGACTTGTTATTTCTGATGGATTTCCTGGTACATTTTTCTCAATCAGCACATGTTTAATATCTATCATAGTTTGGTAGTGAAAGCCAGGCCTTTCCAACTAGCCACTTACAATCTCAAATGCTCTAAACCCTGCCCTGCATGTACATATAAATAAAGTCTAAAAAGTTTAAATAGCTGGCATATGATACTTGCAATTTATCTGTATTACCTACCGTAAATATGGTTTTCTATTCTTCAGTCAATCTACTGTGAGAGGTCAAGGTCAGTATGTACACGTATGTGAACATTTATGTTCTATCTCTTCGTACATTGCTACAGTTAAGTGGAGCTGTAAGGTTGGACAACCTTCAGGACAACTTCCGGTACCGCCTCCTCATCTGGACAGGTGCATCTAAGCACGCTGGGACAGAGTCTACAGTTGCCTTCAAGCTGTTCGGAGATGCAGCAAACTCTGATGTGAGACTGGTCGACATCACAGAGAAGGTTAGGCCATCAAATTTGGCACTGACCACTCCTATTGCCATATTATCACCCAACTTTCCTCTGCAGATGTTTTAACTCGCAGCATGTCCTAACAGGTGGAATTTCTGTTGCTGTTCAGATTTTCACCCGAACCAGCCAGGTGACCCTGACCTTCAGCACAGCAGAACAGCTGGGTAAGGTGGAGCTGCTGCAGCTCATGCACGACAACAGTGGGGAGGGGAGCCGCGCATCGTGGCACGTGGACCGAGCAGCCGTGCAGGATCTCACCACGGGCAAACTGTGAGTCCAGCCAAGCGCTGTCTACTTCATCCAATCATAATCATGGGAGGGTTGTTCAATAAAGATTTCACCCGAACAACTTCCAGGTGTTGTGGAAGCTAAAATTGATAAAATGATGTACAATCATCATCATTTGGAGGTTTTATTCAATGTGCTACTTTTAAAAGCACTCTTTGGTCACCTGTCTATTACATTTAATATCATTATAGATGTGTAGTTTACTTGTTACAGCAACTTGGGTCTTCAGTGCTCCTTTTTTTGTATTGAAATTTAAATGAGATTTTTGAATGTTGAGTGAAACATGTGTTGTCATGAGTAGAATTTTTAATGTCTTTTAGTAGAAGGAAACTGTTAACAATTATTGAACATCTTTCAATGCTTAATTTTGCCAACAAATTAGCTGTGTTTCTGTTTTTAAATTCATCTCAAAATATTACATCTAGCAGAGTTACATTTCTTTCTTTTGGAACTGCAGGTTCTATTTCTTCTGCGACGAGTGGCTGGCAGCCGACAGCGGGGACGGGCAGGTCGTGAAGACCTTTCCTGTCGCCTCTGAGGAGGACCTGCGATCCTTCGGGTTCCTGTTCCCGGCACGTCTGCGCCATAACCTGGCAGAGGAACACCTAGTGCTGTCCGTCGCCTTTAGGCCTGAAGGTATCATCAATTTTGCTTTTTCAACTTTACTGCAAAATTTTTATCTTGGCTGATCTGAGGTAGTCTAAAATTTCCCTCATACTAGTACTTCTATTTTCATTTGCATAATGCTTTTGTTAATTGCTTCTTGCTGGCTGCATTTCATCTGGAGTGTTGCTTTCATTCTTTATCATTAAGACCAACTTGTACGTGTATGTCTTGATAAAAAATGTCTCCATTATCATTATGTTTCCTCTACAGGTAGCACGTTCACCCGCATCGAGAGGCTTGGCTGCTGCCTGAGTTTCTTCGCTGCGTCCATGGTGTCCAGCGCCATGTGGCTGAGGGATGAGGTAGAAACCGAGATCGTGCGGGTCTTCAGCCTGGGGCCATTCTCCTTCACCTTGAACGGAGTCTACACGGGGTTCATGGCCAGCATCACCTGCCTTCCCGTGGTAACAGCCATAGTGCTGCTGTTCCAGTACAGCCGGCCGAGCAGCAAGGGCGACCGCCGGGTCCGAGACGTGGAGACGGGCGGCCCACCTGAGGCACCCACCCAGAGGGGTCCAGCCAAGTGTCTGCCACACGGGTGCAGGTACGTGGCCTGGGTGCTGGCGATGCTGTCTTTCCTGGGGTCAGCTGTCTTCACCACGCTGTTCAGCTTGCAGTGGGGCAGGGACAAGACCAACAAGTGGCTGTCTGCATTCATCATCTCCTTTCTGGCAGACGTCTTCCCGATAGAACCAGGGAAGGTAAGGACATTGTCTACTAATAGGTGATTATAGCTTTAACAATGTCGTGATAATTATGTTTGTTTCAGGTGTGATATTTAAATTACTTTTATTGTTAACACCTTAAAATGCGACCTGTCAGCACCATTCAAGCTAGGATATCAATTTCATGATTACATGTTTGTTGTAGTTGCCATGTACAAGGTGTTTACTGAGAATAGTAAACACATTGAAGTGCCACCTTCCGAAAGCATTCAAGCACAAGATAGTTGTATGAGGTCTTTTGTTACCAAGACATGTGTTTTCTTTAGCTGGAATACACGCTGAATACAAGAAACATCATAGGGGATGATATCACCATCTTAATTGCTTAGACACCCTAACAACCAAGTCTTTTATCTTACAGATATTTCTTCTTGCCATCTTCACTTCATCCCTTCGCAAGACACAAGCCGTCAAGAAGATTTTTGAAGAGAAATGGAGTCCCGTTTTGATGGAAGCCAATACTGCGTCAGGCTTCAACTGTAAGTTTGTAACTTCAAGTACTAAGTTAAGCTTAATTCCATCAGGTCACAAAATGTCAAAGATTATTTATCCACCACCCTGAAAAATGCATCTAAACACAGCATCACCCAGTATATTAATACACTCCAGGACCTGTATGCTACTACGTACATGTATCTAAACCATGCATACATGGGTGGTGCGGAACTATACATGTAGCTATATACTAGATAGAGATCTCTCAAAAACATTGTTTTTCAAAGTGGCAGATATATGTAACCTGGCAGATGAATGTTAATAGGGGTCACATCTGTAGAAACACAATGATTATTATATACCATAATTTTCTGATGATGAAGTATTTGAAAACTATAATACAGAATATTTATTTATTTCTGTTTTATTATGATTGTGAAAGAAAGCCATTTTCTGCATTGTGCATTGTTCTCAATTGATCTGACATTTCTTTTTGCTTCCATTTGTGGTGTTGTTTCCACCTTTCTAACAAATACAAACCATACTGACTTCACTTATATTTTTCATGCTTACTACATTTTGTACAGGCGATGCATTTCGCACAAGGAGGAAGATGGAACAACTTTCGATGACGTCCCTTATCAACATCAAACAAGCAAGGAAGAAGCAGCGCAGGGACAGGAGGAATGGCGAAATCCTTCGGGACATCATGGTGTCTTGCTTTTACGTGCTGCTTGTCCTCAGCATCACCAACGAACACCACAGCACCACCCATGCCTTCTATCAGACACAGACCGCAACCAACACCTTTGTGCAGTCCTTGGACGAGGTAAGATCATTACAGGGCCTTACATTGTACATTGATGTCTGATCACTAAATCTTTGCACTGGTCAGATTATCCTTTCAAGCCAGTGGAAACCCTTTAGCCATGTGGACACAGGTAACAACTAAATTACTTATTCCCCAAGATTATTCTTGTCAAATTATTTCTTTGTTCAGTAAAATCACCAGGTTTCTTTTCTCCACAGGTAAATGATGCTGATACCTTCTGGTCCTGGCTGAACGGGACCGCTCTGGAGAACTTCTACCCGGAGACTTCCTACAATGACAACAAGCTTCGCTGGCAGGAGAAGGGCTTCACAGCAGACATGCAGTCGGTCCTGGTCGCCCCGCATAGCATGATCCAAGCCCGAGTAAAGCCAGGTGGGAGGAACCACATAGAACATTTGCTGTGGTCTCAGGCAAACATTACCACAGATGTATTACCACATACCAGAGGAAACATGAGTAATGAAAAGTTACATTTGACAAATTCAAAGGACTATTATGATCTTCTTATTCATAAAAAAACATTTCAAAGACACCTACCTAAAATTAAGAGGATGACAAAATAACAAAACTGTTAACCTCTGATTTGTGACTTACTTTTCGTCCTTTCCATCTCCTGCCATCCCAGGGCTGTGCACAGTGCTAGCAGCAGTGCAGCAGTCGTTTGATGAATGTTCATCAGGGTACAATGAACACGCCAAGGAGACCGGGGCGTTCCGAAAGGGTTGGGAAAGGGTCATGAATACGTCAGCGATGGAGTCAGAAGCCCCTGGATGGACCTACCTCCACAGTGGATACACCAGTCTCCCCATCTACGGTGTGACAACGCAGTACTGGGGAGACGGCTTCGGGCTGAACCTGGGAAAATCTGAAGACGAGATGCGCAGCATCCTGGCAGAGCTGAAGGCCAACCGTTGGATCGACAAGCGGACGAGGGCCATCTTCTTGGAAGCGTTGCTCTACGACGGGAACCTGGATCTGTTCACATCGGTGACGATGGTGTTTGAATTCTCCGAGACGGCCGGACTTTTCACCCATCATCGCGTGCAGGCCTTCCGACTTCATCAACGGCCGGGGACGATCGGATACCTCTACGTCCTGCTGGAAATCACTTACGTCTTCGTTCTCCTCTACACACTGTGGAAAGAGACGAAAACTGCACGCGCAGCCGGCTTGGCCTACCTGAGGGAGCCATGGAAGGTTGTAGAAATCTTCAATTTCTTCTTGGCATTCACTGTCATCGCCTTGTATGGCTTCAAGAGAACATACAGCTCCATGGCTGTGGCAGCGATCAATGCTGGGAAAGGTGTGTTTCACATTTATGCAAAACTGTTGCACAAATCATTCATATCATATAAAAATTTCACTTGCTTACTGTTTGAAAACATGAAACATTCTTGGACAGATTCTGGAAGGTAATCATTTTACACTGTTCTAATTATATGCAACGCTCTTCTTTTAAAGATGAAGTCCACCATTTCCGAACTGCGGTGAACGTGAGCCTGGTTTACGGCTGGTTCCTGGCCTTCCTGACGTTTGTCAACATGATGAAGTTCCTCCGGCTGCTGAGGTTCAACCCATTCCTCGCCAAGCTGATGTCCATGATCCGCGGGATGTCGGTGGAGTTCTCTTCCTTCGCCATCTACCTCTTCCTCGCCATGTCAGCATTCGGCGTCTACGGTTATCTCAAGTTTGGCCTTATTGTGAAGGAGTACAGGTAAGGAAACATAGATCATATGTGTATCAAAAACAAACTTTTAGTTAGAAAACTTGGATGATATCTCTTTTTTCAGTTTTCTTTTCGTTTTTCTTTTTCTTAGTTTTAGTACTGCAGTAGGGATACAAACCTTGTGACTTCTAGAAATATGATGATGGAAGTTAGGTTATCATGACTGTAACAATGATTTGATTTTTTTTCAGCACCATCAGCAAGTCCTTCTCCACTCTGTTCCAAATGACTCTTGGACACTTCTACTACTACGAGCTGCGGGAGGCATCCCCCATCTTCGGCCCCATCTACTTCATCACTTACATTTGCATAATCTTCCTGGTGCTGATGAACATCGCCATGGCGATCATCGACAGCCGCCTTTTCAATGTGCGGAACCACATCATGTCTGAGGAGGACCAGTACTTCATCCAGGGGTTGTGGGAACGCTTCACGGCCTTCTTCGGCTTTTGGAAGGTGCCAGTCGCAGGTAGCGCAGTCCTCGGTTGAACCAACCGAGAAAGTCTATCATTATTTGGGTCTCAATTTTGTAGGAAAGTGACTTGCTTGGTCACTGCACTAGTTGGCAAACTATGGACTTGAACCCAGGATCTTTGCTTCATCACTCCAGTTATAATGCTACAGAACCACCCTCCCTGAATCCCTTTGTTTCCTCTGCCCCACTGAGTTTTACTTTGTTTACTCAAAACAGTTGGTTTCTCTTCATTAATGTCTAGTGTAAGCTACTATACAATATTTTGCTGCATATGTTATCAAATTTTATTGTATCCTTTGTTCAATTTTATCATATATTGTCTGCTGCTCAAAGTATGTTATCATGATTAGTAATTATCATAATCTCAGTTACGGGAGGCCCTGGAAAAGTATCTGGCCTTCTCTGCATGTTTTTTTTAAATATGAACATGTATTAAGCTTTGTTATTACCGTAAATAATTTATTTCAAGTGTGATTAAAGAACACTGATTGAACCCTTTGCATTGGTACAGAAAACAACTCCTTGGACACTCTTCATGACAGCCTGGTCGAGGTGGAGATTAAAGTGAAGAAACTGTGGCTGCAGAGGCAGTTCCTCTTCAACCTCGAGTAAGTACACATTTTACAAAATGGTATTGAGCACAGTATCTAAAATAGCCTTGATTTGTTAAAGATAAACACTCAACATACAAGATTTTTAGAAACTCACTCAAACACCTCTATCCTCACAGGATGAAAGACGCAGACCTACCCGCAGAGCCTGAGTTTGTTCCGACTGTCAAAGATGTTCCCGATGCTACAGCAGTGGAACTTCATGTCCCCAAAGGAGGCTGCCGCATCATCGCGGTCCGTCCTGCATCCCCAAACAGCTGCGCAGATGACAGCAGTCAAGCGATCTGCTCCGACAGCAAGGCGCCAGTGGTGGTGGCATCCGGGTCTCAATCAAAAGAGGACACCCAGCAAAGCCACCAAACAAGTGGGAAGAAGTCGACCAAGAGAGTCCAAATTGATCTGAACCTGAATCGTGTTTTTCGCTATAAGTATTATTACTATAAGGAGTGTGAAGTGGGGAGGCCAATTGTCAACTTGAGCGCTGGTGACAAGGCGGTTCTGACAAGCAACGAGATGCTGACAGACGACCTGATCCAGGCTGCCCAGAGGCTGCTCCACCACCAGTACCCGGCACTCCAAGGCCTGGAAGCCCCTACAGTTGGTCTCTGCGAGGACGGGTTTGCCAAGATGACAGGAAAGGGGCTACAAATCCACCACAACAGAAGAGAGCACTGGGTTCTGTCGTCTTACACAGACGGACAAGTGCGCCTGTATGACAGCATTGGCGGCGACATGACCGCATATCTGCAGGTCCAGCTTTACCAGACCTACGCCGCGTTTGCCGACCAAGAGAGGAACGTCCTGACCATCATCCTACCAGAGGTACAGCGTCAGAAGAATGTCTTTGATTGTGGGCTGTTTGCCATCGCCTGGGCAGTGGACATCGCACAGGGGCAAGACGTGAGCAGCATTGCGTATGACGACAGGGAGATGAGGAGCCATTTGAAGAAGTGCTTCGAACAAGGGAGGCTCACACCATTTCCTCATCTGACCAGCCAGAGGAAGAAAGTCGGTTTCACCAGGGTCAGCAGAATCTCGCTGGTTTGCCGCTGCAAGCAGGAGGAGGGTCTGGGAAGGATTGAGGCGTGCAGGGCATGCCAGAGGATCTTTCACGTCAGCTGCCTGCCAGTCAACCCTCCCAGTGATGGCAAATGGAAATGTGGAGACTGCGCCGTGTAAAGTACAAAATGCACTGTAAAAACTGGTTAACATCTGGATAAACTGTTTGCCTCCTGGTGGAAGGAAAGAAATGATCATGATAGAAACCTGGCTTGGCCGTCTCAGGAATGATGGCAAAATACCACACCAGTAACATTTTTTGCCGATTTAGACTATTTCACTATTATTATATAATCTACAATGTATTTAATATGGCTTTGATAGGTACACTGTCAGATACTTTGCTGTCAGGACATTTCAAAGATACTGGAATAATTTCTCTTATAGTATCATGTCACAGTGTGTTATGTGTTGTGTTACAATTTATATGTAAATATGTTTAAAACATTTTAAAACATTTGTAAATAGCAAGAATTATCAGTTATCTAGTTACAAGACAACAGAAATTGTTGAACATTATTTTGTGATTTAAAGATCTGTAAAGCAAACCAAAGAGTTTTGGATGATTTCATATTCATGATTGTTCACTGTTAAGCGACGGTCACAACCCGCCGTGCGTGCTTCTGCGTGCTGTCTACGTGCAAAAACGTGGGCAAACGCAGGGCATCCGTGCGTGGTGAGTACCACCTCCGTGCGGAATCCTACGGATTTGGGAGCACGCAGACACGCCGTAGAACTTTAAGTGCATGTAAAACTTTTTCTGCGTGCGGTCTACGGATTCACCACCCGTGCGTGCGAGTACGGGCGACGCGCGTGCCCCGCACGTACCGTACGAAAGACGCACGTGCGAGTACGGCCTCCTTACGGTAAAGATGCAATCGCACAGAGATCGTACGTTGTAAGCACGTACAACTCACCATTTGCGCAACGTACGATGCACGCAACCGCTCACGGTCAGACGTGGCGTGCAGACCACACTCTTACACCTTGCGAAACCGTGCGAGTGACGTGCAAGTGACGTACGTCTATGCCACTCCTTCCCAACGTTTTCAGAAAAAACGTAGCAGACGTAGCCTCCCAAAAAACGTACGGACAAAAAGCACGTACGGCGGGTTGTGACCGTCGCTTTAGGAAATGACACTTTTGTCAAATGGTTGCTTTGAAGCTTCATAGTTCTTATATACATGTATAATAACATATGTACGATTTTGTGGTGGAAGAACTTGCTTTACTAAAGGACTTAATTACTGAGGGTATTTACATTTTCTTGTCTCAGTGTTGTATAAAGGAACATTGTGGAGACTTAGGCCACACCAATTTAATTATTTGTTTCTCAGATTTGCCCACTTTGTTTTTTTCTGATTTGCAAAAGAAAAAAGCAGTTCAACTATTTGAAGAAAGCTCATTGCCTTCCTAATTACAGTTTATCTATCTTTTAATGCATTGATATTGATGAAAAGGTTGAAATTCATTGTTTGAATAATTAGCAAGTAAACAAAAAAAATAGCCTGATATGTTGCCTTCAGTACCTTTGGGGGCTATCAGAGGATGCATTTGACTTGACTTTGAATGTCGCTTCCTTTTTTTTTCTGAAAAAAAAAAAATCCGAGAACCAACAACAATCAAATTGGTATGGGCTTAGAACTATTTAGAACTAACATTTACTACATTTTGTTGTTGAAAAGACGGGCTGAATAAAAGTTCAAGGGAACTACAAGTCTGTGACTCCAGCGTTGTTACTGAAGGATGATTTTGGTGCAGGTTTAATTACAACTAACAGTTTACTTAAAGACTAAGGAACACACACAAAGACAGACACGTCAAATCAAAATCGTTTAGCTGTATTTCCCACATACAGATCATCTGTGAGTCTGTGACATATCTATAATCATCTGCCCTGAGATTTGGAAGATTTGTTGGTTATTTTAATATGTTTACCGGAGGAAAACATTGTTTTTACTCAATTTCTTCTTCTGTTCCGAACACTAAACCTCTGACCTGGCCAATGACCTGATTTGTTGACGTCTGTCACCATGGTAACTGGTGTTGGGTTTCATCATGTTGCAAGTTTGTAGTAGGAGAAAATTAGGCTCCTGTCTGACCATATATATGAAATGTATTTGAGTAAGAATTATGTATTTGACCTGGCCATTGACCTGATTTGTTGACGTCTGTCACCATGGTAACTGGTGTTGGGTTACATCATGTTGCAAGTTTATAGTAGGAGAAATTTAGGCTCCTGTCTGACCATATATATATGAATGTATTTGAGTAAGAATTAACATTGTAGACCACATGTGAAGGTAAACATTATGCATTTTAGCTTTGCAAATGTTACCTTTCTAGTTTTCATTACACTAAGTTACTAAAGATTCTGGGGTTGAATCCCTTGGGATACCCAACATCCTAACAAATGTGCCCTTGAGAAAGGCACTTTACACCTATTTCCTCTCTAGCTTGACACACTTACGGAAATGAGTGAAGCAAAGGACCTACATTATACATGGTACCATGTTAATGAACCCACCACACTTATCAAAACGAGTAAGAGTCTTTTCGGTGTGAATGGCTCAGTAAGAGGGTCTGCATGGGGGGGTCCTGGCAACGGTTAACGGTAAATTCAGCAGGGCCGATAACGCTTAACGGTAAATTCAGGACGGCCGGCAACGCTTAACGGTAAATTGACAGGCTTTTTTTTTCGAGCTGCACTGGATTTGGTATCTCGCTTTGTGAGGAAAGGTGATCACTGACAAAATTACGTATACCTTACATGTAATGAAGCATGCATTAAAGGTAGGTGTTCCCTGTGTTTCCCACCTGCCCTGGTCCCCGAGTGCGTCCACAAATACCGGGGTGTCCGAGTCGACTTCGGCAGCTTGCATTTTTTCAGTCTGCCCAGTTTTACCGATGGATTTTGAGAGGGGAGCGCCGAAGGCGCTCGTAATCTAGGGGGTCCGGGGAATGGCTCCCCCGGGAATTTAGG